GGACGCATCCCGGCTACACACGCAGCCCCCTGCCACCGCCGTGTCCCCTCCTCACCTGGCCTCCAGCACGGTGCAGCGCAGCCGCCGACTGCCCTGGCTCCCCACGACCTCCACCCGCAGGTGGATCTCCCCCTGCACCTCCTCGTCCGGGTCCACCTCGCTGAGGCTCACCCAGCCACTGTAGCCTGTGGGAAAAGGGGGCACCCCCATGGGAGGGGTCACTGGGGGGCCCTCGGGACCGGCTCGTTGTGGGGGTGGGAGACGGGTCCCTGCTGGGACGCTCCCGGCCACTTGTCCCCCTACCCTTGGGGTGCTCCGCCAGCATGTCCCGGGTGATGCAGACCTTCCCAATAACGTCATCACGGCTGGAAAACAAAAGCCAGGAGGAGGACATAGCATGGGATCAGAGCCCGCCCGCCCCACCGGGCCACGGGCAGGACAGCCCCTGCCACGCGTTTCGGGGGGAAAAAAGGCACCCGGGTGTGCTGGGCTGGGGCCACCACGGTGCATCTGTCCCCATGGAGCACGTCAGCCACCCTTTGCTGCCAGCTGGAAAATAACCTCATGAAATAACTTCACCCGTTTGTGTCCCAAAGCCCAAGCCAGCACGGCCAGGTGTGGATTCTCTGGTGTCTACAATGGGGTTGAGCACTGCAGGCAGCCAAAGCCACCAACCTCCGAGTCGCCATGCCGAGCCCCCGCTGCCCCGCAGGCAACCTGCCCATACCTTAGCGCATCCTCATCCATGACGTAGATGGAGACACTGTGGAAGGTGGGCTGGAGGTGCACCTCATATTCCTCACCCCAGAATGGGGACAGCGTCTTCCACACAGTGGCAGTCCTGCGGGGCAGATGGCACTGGTGACGGGGGGGCCGGGGCTCCCCAGCCCTGTGAGCTTCTCAGCTTTTGGTGACACATGGCTGGGGGCAGCACCCGGAGTTTTGAACCCCCAGCCCCAGGGGGCAGAGGATGGGTCCCTGTCCCTCCCCTGTCTTGTGGCTCTGGGCTGGCAAGTTGTGGGGGGTGGCTTACAGGGTGGGGGTGGCCATGAGCTGTTAGACATTGCAGCCTGTGTCTGGAGGAGGGGCTCAGCCCAAAGCAGGGAATAATAACAATAATAATAACAACAACAATAATAATAATATTGTGCCTGCAGCAGGGTAGATGGAGGAACCTGCCAGGAGCCAGGCGTGCCAGCAGGTTTGGGGACCAGCCAGGGACATGGAGCCACTCACCTGATGATGGCCTCCTCGTCGATCTTACCGATG